GGGGTTTGGGGTTTGGGTTTAGGGCCTAGGGGTTCAGAACCACAGCCATCACAAAGCCCTGCGAGCTCCAGAAAGCCCTCAACCCCAAATCTCGACACCCGCCAAATCATACGCACGATCGAAATCCGAGACCTCTTTGTAACCGGGAGGCTCGAAGCCTACACGCCCGGACCCAATGAGCCCCAGTGAGCCCCAGTGTAGGTGTCGGGACAATAAGCAATAATATTCCTCCGATTTAGTTTTTGTAAAACCCTACCCACAAACCCCGAAACCTCTTCCCCAAACCCTAAACCCCATATAAACACCTTTACACCAACAAAGCAAACACCAAAAAAACACCCTAAGCCCCTAAACCCTAAGCCCCTTCAAGAGATGCCAGGCACTGCAGCAACTGCGACGTTTCGGGGAACTCCCGGCGTCGGTGGTGGAGCTGGGCGATTTCGGTCCCTACCTGGCGCCTCGTCTGGTTTTAGGGTTTAGGGTTTGGGGGTGTACGGGTTCAGGGGTTTAGGGGGTTTAGGGGTTTAGCGTTTGATTTGGGGTTTAGGATGGTTTAGGTTCTAATGCATCCTGAAGCTAAGAAGCTTCACTGCCAACTCCCGAGACTTCATGTAAGATTTCAGCCCAAAAACCTAAACCAATACCCTCCCCCCTCCAGAAAAGAAACCCCCAACAAACCCTAAACCCTAAACCCTCCGGGCGGGCTTGGGAAAAAGGAGTTCAAAAAAAACCCTAAACCCTCAACCCTAAACCCTAAACCCTAAACCCTAAACCCTAAACCTGAATCCCAAGCCCTGGAATCCCAAGGATGAACGTCGGCCAGAGTCTCCAATGAAGGCTTGGGTGCCAGATTGGCGCCAGGTGGGAGCCAAGCTTCCCAGGGTTTTGGGTTTAGGGTTTAGGGTTTTGGGTTTTGGGTTTAGGATTTAGGGTTCAGGGTTTAGGGTTTAGGGGTTTAGGATTTAGGGTTTAGGGTTTAGGGTTTGGGGTCCTAGGGTGCTTGTTGCTTTGCGCGGTCGTTTGTTGGGTGTGTACGTGTAGGCTTGTAGAAGAGGGTGCTTAGAACCAGTCTTTTTTTTACGTCCGACTAAGCCCCCTAATCCGTTTACAGTGGTCCCCCACCCTAAAGCTACAGTCCCGAGCGCTACGCCAAAATTCTCAAGCCCTTATCCCTAAAGTCCAAACCCTCAACCCTACTTACCACGTCGCCGGAGAGTCAGGTCATAGATCCACAGTACGACGAGCGCCAAGAGGCAGCCGCAGCGCCCAAAGACGACGCCCTGGGCGTCTGGCTAACGGTGCCTGAGGCAGGATTAGGGTTTTGGAGATCAGGGCTCAGGGTTGACACTGGTTTACAGGGATTCACAGGGGCTTAGGTTTCGGTTTAGGGCTTTAGGGTTTTAGGGTTTAGGGTTTAGGGTTTAGGGATGAGGGTTTAGGTAGGGGTTGGTTGGATTACAACAGGGCTGAGGATTTAGGATCCTGGCTTAGTCCTAGTTGCTTATTAAGCACTTCTAGTTTAACATTCCAAAAGCGTCCGTGACAAAAAAACAAAAGCATTATGGAGCTGGAAGCCATAGAACCATAGTGGGCCCTCACTCTAAAGGGAGCCGAGTTGGTAGCGCAAGGGGCCTGTTCGAACAATCGCATTGCAAGCCACGCCTCAGGCTTAGATGCCAAAGAACGCAGTAAATGCGGTTTAGGGTTGAGGCTATTTAGGGCTTTCCGAGATAACTCGGTAGAGTGGTTTCAAAGTTTCTGGGTTGCAGGACCTGGCGCGTCTGGTGCAGCCTCGCTACGAGCGAGTCCGGCAGAGCCTGTCGGCTGACGAGGCAAGATTGGCAAATGGCCTGTTTGGGGGCGACGAAGATGCGGCGGTACTCACGTGCCTTGAAAGAAGCTAACCAAGAGGGTCCACATATAGTACTATTATGGAATTAGGTCCCCAAAACCATACTAGGGATGGTCTTTTGGGACCTAATTCCATAATGGTAGTGTATATGGACCCTCTGGGTAATGAGAACAGCCGTAATGATAGCAATGGTGACTATCCACACTCTAAGTCCCAATCGCTGAAGCCCCCAACCTAAGTCCCAAGCGCTGAAGCCCCCAACAAAAACCGTAAAGCCTAAAACCACATCACCACAGGCCCTAAGCTGAACCCGAACCCCAAGGTACCATGTTGCTGGGCTTGTCCGCTTCCTCATGGACTCCTACCCACTGGATCTGCAGGGAGGGCCGGGCTATTGTGGGCCACCGTGACTGGTGACGGGTCGCGCCTTCGCGTGCTGGAACAGAAAAAGAGGGTTTAGGGGTTGGGGTTTAGGGGTTTAGGGGTTTGGGTTTAGGGTTTAGCGTTTAGGGGTTGGGGGTTTAGGGATTAGGGTTTAGGGTTTAGGATTGGTCCAACAGTCGCCAAGACCAGGTGATAATCAGAAGGATAGATGCTGAAGTGCATGTTGGAAACACAAACATGGCATGACATGGCAAGTAGATGCATAGATCAACAGAACATTGGGCTTCCAGGTTCGGCCTACTCCCGTAAACCCTAAACCCAACTTGACAATCAGGTGATTCAAAGGCCCTCGATCCTGTTTTGGTGATTATGGCCTCTATACTTTTGACGAAGCAACACCCGGAAATCCCCAAACCATGCTAGAAACCGCGCAATCAACATCTACAACTCATAAGCCTAGCCGAATGGAACAACATCTTTCTTGTCTGTACTATTCCTTCGTGTTCTTTGTAGACCTAGCCCCCTCCCCAAGAAAACAACGGCACAACAAATCATTTTGTACGAGGCCCCTACACTAGCCCTAAGCCCTCAGCCCTGAACCCCCTAAACCCTGCACCTCAAACCCTGGACCGAGAACCGTAAACCCTATACGCCCCAACAGCTCAAAAAGCCGAACCCGAAAGGTCTAAACCCTAAACCCTTAACCCCTTAACCCCTAAACCCCTAAACCCCAAACCCGAAACCCCTGAATCCTAAACCCTAAACCCTAAACCCTGAACCCTAAACCCTAAACCGTTATAAACCCTAAACCCTAAACCCTAAACCCTAAACCCTAATGAGGCCAGCT